CTGACCGGTTTGGCTCAGCAGTTGGAGCCTCAGCCTGCAGACCAGAGAGTCCTGGGTTCGGTTCCCACTAGGGGCACATACAAAAAAAACTACATAGACTTATTCTTATCGTTCTGGAGGTCAGAAGTCCTAAGTTCAAGGTGTCAGCAAAGCTGTGTTCCTTCTGGAGGCTCCAGAAAGAATTGTTTCTTTGCCTTTTCCAGCTTCTAGAGGTCCCCTACGTTCTTTGGCTCATGGCCCTTTCTTCCATCTTCAAAGCCAGCAGAGTGGCATCTTCAAATCTTCCTTTCTCCCTCTTTGATCTCTGTTTTAGTCATCATATCTCCTTTTCTAACTCTGACCCTCCTGCCTTCTTCTTAAAGGGCTCTTATGATTACATCGAGCCCAGTCAATATCCCCATCTGAAAATCCCGAATTTAGTCACATTTGCAGAATTTTTTACATTATGTAAGGTAACATATTAACAAGATTAAGGTGTTGACATTTTTGGCCTCTCCCCATGAGTCCTGCTGTTATTGTCAAAGGGAAGAAGTAAAGAAGAGGCTTCTGTGACTCCCCAGACATCAGAGTCTGAGGATCAGAGCCGAGAGGGGGCCAGGAACGCCTTCTCTGCAGGAAGCAGGAGCTTGCCCACCCCCTCCACTGTGGACACATTCCAGGATCTGCATTGTCATCCATCTGAGAAGAACTCTGCGTTTCTCTGCCAATCCTGCAGCTTTCCCACAGGCAGGAAACACTGAGCCCACCTCTCCTACTTGGCAGTTGAAAGGCCCTGGCTCTGGGCAGGGCATGAGACTACTCCGGCCTGCCTCATTTTTTGTATCCCCCCTGTCACCTTGACATTACGCTTTTCAAACTGGGCAGATTAAGTTAAGTAACCAACCCCTGACTTCAGCATCTTCTTGACAGTCTTTTCACCTTTTTTTTTTTTTTTTTTAAGCTAGGAAACAAAGAAGAAAAGGCCTAAGAAATACAGATAAGCCTGGGCTTCCAAAGAGGGCCTTTAGAGAAGCAGCAACCACCCCCACAGCCAGATTACAATGGATAAGAACCAGAGTTTTATGCCTTTTTATTATTTTGTCCAGCTGGGCCAAAATGATAAAATTCTCCCTATTGCTAGGATCTCCCCATTGCTAGGATCTCCCCTTCCTTTAGGAAGCATCTCTGGTTCCCCTGGGCCGAGTTAGGGACTCCTCATGGACACCCGCTGTCTTCCAGGAAAACTCTACCATTACTACATCATTGTGTGATCATGTTTTAGCTCACCCATCTCCCCTCTTACAGTGTCAACTTCCTAGGGGCAAGGAGTTGAGTCTTCTTTATGACTCCCCCACTTACTAGAGTGCGTAGCAGGTGTAGGCCCTTTGTAGATGACAGCTGCATGGATGGATGAAAACCCTCACATTGCAAGCTGCAGTGGCCACTGGTCCCCATCTACATGTGGCTTCCCTGAGGTCACTGTATCTCAAGCATACAGAATTCACGGTCTGGCTGTGAAGAGAGGGAACATAGCCATCAGCAACAGAAAGGGGTGCTGGATAGCAGATGGGCAGAGGCAGGACGCCTGAGCAGGGCAGAGGCTTGGCAAGTATTGCCTTCGCTCACTGACCTTTCCTCTCTGGATGGAGGCTCAGGTTTCAGCCTGCTGTGAGGGAAACTGTCCTGTGGTACTAGGAGACTGAAAGTACCCTCTTTTCCTTCAGTCACATGCTGTGACGGCCTAACTGTGGGTGCAAGGTCACACAAGGCCTGCAGCCATGATTCCAAGGAGATCAGTGTCACAGGCAGCCTGTCTCCTGCCTCGTTCTCAGGAATTCTCTTTTTATTTCTGAAAGGTCCCTGTAAAGGGGGGAGATGAAATATTAGTCAAGGATTAGGCTCTTGTGAAGTTGTGGAGATGAGCTCAGGCAGGACAGAAGACACACACCTCAAGTTCATTTGACAAATGTCCCTTCCTTCAAACACCTCTGATCCCCCAGGATACTGTGGAGCTGACCTTTTGAAGGAGTCTTTCTGGCTGCCTTAACAAGGAGATGACTTTGTGTTTTCTGTCCCATCACACAGGGAAGTAGCCACATTCCCTCTCCTACTTAGTTATCCTGCTCTGTCCTTATTTTCCTCCACACACTTTCCTGATACATCCCTACTGTCTCTCTCTTCCCCTTGGTGGAGGGTAATTTCATTCTCTGCCCTTTGTTCTAGAATCCTTACCGATCCCTGAGCCGCATGGGTTTTGTGTTCTAATCTTCCTTTCTTTCCTAAGTCAGGTTCCTTTATCTTTTAGTCATTATTGCTTGTGTCTGCAGAACCCCTGGAACCCAGGGGCCCAGACTTGTCCCTAGCATGCCTCGGAGCCCTAGGGAGAAGCCCAGTTGCTGAGAGTGATTTGGGTTGGATTGTTGCCAGGCATGTAATCCTGAAACCCTTATTAAATTGAGTAAGATAAACCAAATGTGTATTTATCAGGACATCTCAGTTTATCTGGAACAGTCGAGTATTTACAACATGTTCTCCCTGTTCAGGTGCTTAAAATCCTTTCTCCAACAACATGTGTTGGTTCTCCTTATATGACACCATCTTGGATAACAGCCCCTCCACAAGTAGTCAAGAGCTTCTACTCTGGAAGTCAAGTTTCCTCTTGATCTTTTGGCTCTGTGAAACCAACTGAGGGTTGCATCTCCTTTTGATAAGTTTCCTGGAGAATGGGGGGATTAGTGTGCTTTGTGAAATGTATAGACTGTGATGAGATTGGAAGGGTAATGAATTGGGGCATTTTCTTTATTCAAGTATCAGATATTTGCTGAGCAGCTACTATTTGCGGGCACCAGTGATATGCCCTGGTATTAAAAATGAAAAAAATCGCCCTGGCGGGTTTGGCTCAGCAGTTGGAGCGTCGGCCTGCAGACCGAGAGTCCCAGGTTCGGTTCCCACTAGGGGCACATACCAGAAAAAAAGAAAAAGAAAAAAATCACAGGAGAGAGAAGGAAACAGATCGTTATGATACAAAGAAATACGTGCCAAAATTAGATATAAATAGAATGGTCTGGGAGGAGAAAGGAGGGACAGACTTTGTTCTCTGTCTGTAAAATGCAGCTGATAAATCTTACCTGGTGGGCACATTGTCAGGAATAAGTAAAATAATAATGACTCACAGAACAGGTGACATTTGAGCTGGATCTTGAAAGATGAGGAATTTGCCAGCTAGAGATGGCTCAGAGGGGAAGGTTAAAGAAGAAGAATAACAGTGGGTCCTTACTTTGCCAAAGTGTTCTCAGAATCAAGTAAGGTTGAAAAATATTTGGAAAGTAAATGCAGTTTCAGGATAAGCTATTGATAGAACTTGATCAGCTGTTTAAGTGAAATCAGAGGCCTGGTTAGCAGCTTGAGGAAAGAGACTTGTGCCCTTGGAGAACTAGGGGGCGTCCTGGTCACTATTTCAGGGGAAGAAGAAGTGAGAGGATTTAATGTCTTTTCCTTTATTCTCAAGCACTTCATAACCACCAGGAGGTTGAGACTCCCACTCCTGTATGAGGGCTCCCATGGGTTACTTAGGGACTGTGACAGTAAAACAGAGTTCCCTTAGGGGCTGTTTCCGTAGTGTAGTGGTTATCATGGTCGTCTAACAGAGTGTCCCTCCATCCTGGCGCTCAGCCTCTGAGCTCTCCTCCAGCCCTGGAGGTTCCACATTGTTGGGATCTCTGTGAGAGCCTATGACTCCTAAGAAAAGAGGCAGATTAAAAGTCCCCCATACCACCCAACAAGATATGGGGATGATGGAAATAAATACAGGAAAACATGTTCAACATTATTAGTCACTAGGGAAATGCAAATCAAAACTACAACGAAATACCACTTAACACCTATTAGAATAGCCAGACTTTTAAAGCCAACAGTAGCAACTGCTGGCAAAGATATAAAGCAACAGAATCTTGCATACATTGCTGGTAGAAATGCAAAATGATGCAGCCACTTTAGAAAACAGTTTGGCAGTGCCTTACAAAGTTTAATATACATTTACCATATAGCCCAGAATCCCACTCCTGGATATTTACTCGAGAGTAATGAAAACCCGATTCAAAGGCCTCTGCAATCTACTTAAAGATTTCTGTGCAAGTGTTTATAGCAGTTTTATTCATAATAGCCCCAAACTGGGAGCAACTCAAATGTCCATCAGCTGCCAAATGGAAAATCAAACTGATACATTCATATAACAGAATATTACTTGACAATAAAAAATAAACTACTAATATATATAGCAACATGAATTATCTCAAAAGCATGATGTTAAGTGAAAGGAGCCAGACACAAAAGGCTACACATTGTATGCTTCCATTTGTGTGACATTCTGGAAAAAGCAAACTATAGGACAGAAATCAAATTAGTGGTTGCCAGTAGGAGTAAGGGAATGATGTCAGAAAAACACAACATACGAGAGAACTTTTTGGACATGTTCTCTACAGAAAATGTGGTAATGATCAAACAGCTGAATACATTTGTCAAATCTCATCAAATTGTGCACTTAGAAAAATGAATTGTATTCTATATGTATTATACTCAGTAAACCTAAGTAACAAAAGATTCCTCTAAATGTCTGTTGCTCCAAAACCAGGCTCAGGAAGATGGCACTGAGGATCCCACCAGGTGCTCAGAGTGCCCCTTGAATATACAATGACTTGAAAACAAAGCCCACACTGGTGCCCTGATCAGCTGCTGCTTCCCCCCCCCCCTAAGCTAGTGCCCACACTTCCATGCCTACTTCTGGCTTCCAGCCCTGGGAAGGGCACATTCTGACCAAGCTCCAATTTATGGCACATAATTTCCAATCATAACCCATTAACCTAGCCAAAGTGTCTGGACATTGGGGCTGAGCTTGCAGGAGATTCGGCTCATCTGCTACAATTCCACTATCAGGAGCAGGGAGCATTTCTGCTTCTGTGCAGAGGGCATCCTGCAGCCTCATCATGGCCCCTGAGGGTATGTTTGGGGGTCTTTCATTTCAGTGCTCCTCACATGGGTCAACTGCTCCAGTGTGCGGTGGGCCACCCGGGTTCAAGACATTTTCACAGCTGGGAAGCTCCTGGCACTGGCCCTGATCATCATCATGGGGGTCGTACAGATCTGCAAAGGTGAGTATCATTGAAACCATGGGGCCCTGCCCAACCTTTCACCCGTTGCGTGTACATACCCCTCCTCATACTGACTTTGGGTGTGAGCACCCTGAGATTTCCCAATTCTGGCCTTAAATTACTTCTCTTCCTCACTTGCTTGACAAAGGGGAAGAGAAACCGTTTTCCACAGGAAGTAGAGCGTGCCCTGCCTGTTAGCAGATTCAGTCTTCCCATGCTGACCTCATGATTCTGAAGACTCTAGATCTCTGAACTCCTATCGCCCCCTTGCCACAATCCCCGGGAAGCTCCCTGCATCTTATATTGTATCTTGTCCATATCTTAAAATGGGGGATGGAGGAAGAGATTTTATATGTTTTTAAATTACTCATAATCTCTACAAGAGAGAGCTCTACATTCCTGGGGCCCCTGCCAACATTCCCCACTGGATTTGGTCCTTTCCAAGCCTGAGTCTGTATTTGGTTTCCATGGGACCCGTAGCACCATGCAGCTCTGCCCAGTGTCACTGCCTCCTGGAGAAAGTCAGATGACAAGCAGGAGACCTCCCACCTGCCCACAAGCCCCAAGGTAGTGTGGGGTGCCTGGATTTTTATTCCAGGAAATATAATTAAGGTTCTGCTATACAAAATGTCCATGATTATATTAATCAGTGGGATTAAGTTCTTTAGCAGGTTATATTGTTTTCAGGAATTTAGACTGAAGGAAATCACTGTGCTATATTTTCAAAAATAAAGTCCCTCTTAATCTTGCCCCAGTGCTTTCTCTTGGTCACTCGACTCTCCATATTTACCATTCCAGTGCTGGGTTACAGGTGGATAAGTAAAGTAGGCAGTTACTCTGTGTCTCATTACAACCTCAGTCAGCAACCTTTCTTGAGGTTACCTCTGTGTGCAGGATACTGTGCTAAGGGCTGGAAAGGAAATTTAAAAACTCTTTGCTGGCCCTGACTGGTTTGGCTCAACAGTTAGAGTATTGACCCTCAGACCAAACGGTTGCGGGTTCAATCCCCAGTCAAGGGCATGTACCTGGGTTGTAGGTTTGATTCCCGGCTCCTGGCAGGGTCATGTGGGAGGCAAACAATTGATATTTGATGTGCCTCTCTCACATTGATGTTTCTCTCTCTCCCTCTCTCTCTCTGTTTCTCCCTCTCCCTCTCCCTTCCTCCCTTCCATTCTATCTAAAAATCAATGGGGAAATATCCTTAGGTGAGGATTAACCAAAAAAAAAAAAGCTCTTTGCTGAAGGACCTCGTTCTCAAAGAATCTATACCATGAAAAGGGAGACCAAACACACACCTTAGAGACAGTTGGAGAGTGACAAAAAAGCAAAACAGGCTTGACTAATATAGCATATGGAAGCTTATGTTTGAATGTTTGTTGTCCTAGATGCCTTTTTCATGAAAAATACAAACTTAAATATCAGAGAAAGTGGTCAGGAGGCTGTAAAGGGTTCTAATCCTGCCTCTCCAAATCCCAGCTCTGCTTTACCCTTCTAGTCCCCCAAGTGACCCTGCCCTCCCAGTGACCTTCCTCTGGCCTTTCCTTCCAAGTACCTTTGCCTTGTGAAAAAAAAAAAAGAACATTCAGAACTGTGCTTTGAATCTGAGCCCCCATCGGACTAATGGTTAACAGGTTCGGGGAAGTCCTGGAGATGTATTTCCATGCTCCTGTTGGTCCCACTTCTCCAATTCATGGGGTTACTGGAGACAAGACAAAGAGCTGGATCATCACCACAGGGAGTAGTGGAGACCAGGCCAGGGAGGCCAGGGGGGCTGCTGGGCCTCTGACTGGTTTCCCTGAGCAGCCTCCTGTCCCTTGTGTCCACAGGAGAATACTTCTGGCTGGAGCCAAAGAATGCATTTGAGAATTTCCAGGAACCCAACATCGGCCTCATTGCACTGGCTTTCCTTCAGGGCTCCTTTGCCTATGGAGGCTGGAACTTCCTTAATTACGTGACTGAGGAACTTGTTGATCCCTACAAGTGAGTTGAAATAGCCTAATTCTTCCTCTCTCCCCGGAAAGGCCAAGGCACCTGCTACTGGAAAGAGGGAGCCACTTTCTGTTTGCCCACTTCTCTTCCTCCCAGACCCAGTTCTGACCATGGCCTGGAAATAGTTCATTTCCCAGGAACTTAGATCACTTGCCATTCACTCTGCTAGGAGAAGAAAATGAGCTGGTGACTGTACCAGATTAGGTTAAAGGCTGAAAACGGTGCTGAGATAACACTACTGCCTTAGAGAATGAAATGTGCCCTGAGTGGTTTCCAGACATCTTACCTGTTTAGGGGACAGATGTGTCTTTGTGTCTTGAGGCAGTGGAAAGGGTGCATTGTGGAGATTCTGGTTAAGAAGAGATCAATATCGTATCCTGCCGACTACGCCAAAAAAATAAAAAAATAAAAATAAAGAAGAGATCAATAGGCGAAGAATATATTTCCAACCTAAGCTGTTTCATTTCCTTTAAATTATCCTGCCCATATTGACACAAATCCTACCCGCACCCCTCCAGGGGGAGAAAACATTGCAGAAGGTCAGCTTCATGCAGAAATATAGAATGCACTCCCCGGCCCCCCGATGAGGCAGGTGGTCCCAGGTGCCAGACCTTCGCCCTCTCACCTCCTCTCCCTCTACAGGAACCTTCCCAGAGCCATCTTCATCTCCATCCCACTGGTCACATTTGTGTATGTCTTTGCCAATGTCGCTTATGTTACTGCAATGTCCCCCCAGGAGCTGCTGGCATCAAACGCAGTCGCTGTGGTAAGAAATCAAACTCACAGTCCCTCAAACATGGAAGGTTGACATAGACTTGCCTGCTGAGCTACCCTTACTTTCCCCTGATCCATGGATTTGTGGAAATGAAAGTCACCTCAAGTCTTTAGAGCAGAAATCACATCTTCAAGTGCCCAGGAGCCAGCTGATGGCCATGCTGTACCTAGAAGAGCCACAATAGCCGAGCTGAGTAGTTGCCACAGGGACTCTCTGGCCTGCAAAGCCAAATTACTTACTGTCTGACCCTTTTCAGATAAAGTTTTCCAACTCCTGACCTAAGGCACTTTAAACTGTAAATGTGATGATTGTATAAAGGAGACAGGCTTCTCCCCAGAAAGATGCAGTCTTGCACAAGACATGCCATTTCTCTCTGCCTCCCTTTCTACCTCAGAAAAGCATGCACTCTGACTCCTTCACTCATCAGGGGAAAGTGTGTGCCAGTAAATGACTAGGAAGTAGGAGTGTGTTGTGCTCTTTGGGGAAAGAGATAATGAAGGTCCAAGGCACTGGGGTTCTTGATATCCAGGTAAGCCCTGGGAGCCATGTTGCTCCCTCACCTGGCTTCACCTGGGCCATGGCCTCACCCTGGCAAACAGTGTCATCACTTGTCTTATTGAAAACTAAAGAAAGAGGTCCAGTGTCCCATAGCAGCCTGTTCCATGACTAAATATTCTAAACAACCCCTTCTCTATGATATGCTATAAGTCACGTGTGTACTTGGCTCAGAGAATATGGAAAGATGGATCCCCCAACATTTTATATTCCTTCAATACATAAGGACTAGTCTATAGCTTCACCACTGTTTCTTTCTCAGCCTACATAATAGCATCTTCTTATCTTTCTCCCAATATCATTTGTTTATGAATTTAGAAAGTCTTACCCTACAAATTAGGATTCATCTCTATTTTACAGAAGAGAAAACTGAGGCTCAAATATTAAGAACTTTGCTCAAGGCCTTACAGCTCCTAAATGTTGGGCTGAGATTAGAGCCCCAACCTGCCTGGCTCACTAGCGTACAATGTAGTGAGGCCTGGACTCACATGGCTGGTTTTCAGTCCAGGCCCCACCACTTCCTGGGTGTGCGATTTTAGGCAATCTATTGAATTACTTTGTGCCTCAATTCCTTCATCCATAAATCAAGGATAATAAATGCTAGTTCATTATTAATAGTATTAGTATTATTACCATACACTGGCTCCTTCAGGTAGCTAGCCCAGAACACTGTTGACTCCCTGCTGTGTAGTGGTCACTGTGGGAAGTGGGGGTGTGGGATGGGCGCCAGGGAGCGGACACCATCCCTCCTTTCAGGAGCTTAGCCAGAGGCTCCGCAAGGGTGGGGCTGGGAGGGAGCATTCCTAGCCGCAGCACACAGGTACAGTGCTGTAACCTCTCCTTTTCCACTCACCCCTTGTTTTCTCTCATAGACTTTTGGGGAGAAGCTCCTAGGGGTCATGGCCTGGATCATGCCCATTTCCGTTGCCCTGTCCACATTTGGAGGAGTCAATGGGTCCCTTTTCACCTCCTCCCGGTGAGTGTTGTCCAGGTCTTTCCGGGCAAGGGGCCACTCTGCTGTGCATATTGCTCTGTGTGTGTGTGTGTGGGGGGGGTTTGTCTTCGTCAGCAGAGTCTGTGTGGACAGCTGGGCCTTGCAAGGGGTGATTGCTTACGTGAGGGCATGCGTGTATCAGTGTAGACACGGAGAGGTGTATGCTGCTCACGTGGTTACCTGTGATGTGTGTGCTTTCACACGTAGTGGTGAGAAGCCCCATTCCACCTCATTTCAATAGGAGCAGGAGGCCAGGCTGCCTAACACAGTCCCACGTCAGGGACTGTGGTTGGTGGCAGGACTGTCTTGGCTGCAGCTCCCAAGCCCCTTTTCCACTCTCCTGGAAACAGACCATGCTGGCTAGAAAGCAGCCCCACTCTGAAAGAGATCAGGAGGGACCTGTGCCTGGGGGCTCTGGGCTGACCTCCCAGGAAAGTTCTGGGACCAGACTGTAGGCGGGACAGGATCACCTCTCAGCACCCTGCGGATGCAGGCTTCTCTCTGCTCCGCAGACAGACGTGGGAGGTCTTCTCGTGGCCACCACCGCTGAGACCCAGGTAGACTCACACGTGTGAAGTGAGAGGGCTGGGGAAGAGTGAAAGGAAAGCATTTGTCTAAGCCGCATCCCTCACCCCTCTCAGGGAAGCCAGAAGCTCAAATGGGCCCAGGAGTCCCCATCTCCTGCCTCCATATATCCAGGGATCTATCCCCTTGATATCCCTTCTTGCTGTCTCCAGAATGGGCTGTGAGAACAGCAGATGCTGGATGATATCCATTGGTGTAGCTCAAGGGGGTCTTCCCAGAGTTCTTAGAAAGCCCCCCTGTGCCCAGGGCACAATCCTACTCAAAAGATACAGCAAAAGGAATACGTCCCTGAGTTCAGTTACTTCTAAAGCCACCAATCACATCAGAAAGGAATTCCTGTGAAATGACAAAGTAGTGCCATGTTTTCAGGGCCCAGGCAGGAAAGAGGGAGTGTGGGTGTCCCTTGTTCCCCAGAACCCTATGACACATCCACAGCAACCTCGTGTGCGTATTACACAGGAGCAGTGGCCACCTGGAGGCCCCAGCCGAGGGCGAGCGGTGGAAGAGCAATGACCCATGAGGCTCTCTGGGATCTATTGGAGGAGAGTGACTGGCTACAGTCACTTTAGAGTGGGGTTTGTCCCTCAGGCAGGCCAAGCAGTGGTCTGCGTGCATGTGGTACAGCGGTGTGTGCATGCAGGAGATGTGGCCTGGTGTCCTCAGCCTCTGAGTCAGAGGCGCGGTTCGCCCACCAGGCCTCCTCTATCATCTTCCAGTTCCTTCCTTTCTTTCTTCTTTCTCCTTCCCTCCTCTCTTTCTCTTACTCTTTTGTGTTTTGGGGTATGGAGAAGATGATCCTTCCTGAGGAGTAGGAGTGTGTGTGGGTGTGTGTCATCCTTATTGTCATTGTCCCCTCCGTTGTCAGCTAGCTGGGCAAGGATTGCCTCTTGTGAACTTGACACTTGCAAATGCTGTTGGACCTGGACAACTCCACTTGGTCCTGGCTGCCTGTGGAGGAGGGACGTGACTGGGGGAGCCTGGCTATGTGCATGACGAGGCCCGCAGACACCTGGGGCTCAGCTGGGTGCATGAGGCTGCACTGTAGAGGCCAGCGCCCTGAGGCTGCATGAAACTAGTGATGCTGGCTAAGGTGTTCAATGATGGCAACTGATGGTGATGCGTTTGGGTACTTGGGACCATAATTGACTCCCACAGTTCTGATAAGCTACTGCTTTTAGCTGCACTCTCCCTTTTACACAAATTACAAGGTAAATGGCAGCTCTCTTCAGAACACCCAGTGTGCTGGCTCTGTGCATTTCTGTCTCCATCATACCATCCCTTTCCTCTCACCCTTTAGGTGCTCCATTCCCTGCAAAATCCTAGAAAAAAGAAAAAGTGGTATAATTCACACTAACATGTAAATGACTCCTAAAAGCTTATAGTGTTCTCTTTTCTCTCCAGAGAGGAAAGAGGAAGAGGGCCTGGTTTTTATTTTAAAATTTCTCTTTTTAAGAATAACGCTTTAACATCAATATCCTGGTCTTAATATTGTACTGTAGTTTTACAATATGTTGCCAATGGGAGAAACTGGGTAAAGGATATATAGTATCGCTCTATATTATTTCTTACAACTGCATGCAAATCTATAATTATCTCAAAATAAAAAGTTTAATTGTTTTAAAAGTTAAAAAATAATTTTTATTCTGATTGCAAATTTTTGTCTACTTTAGAATTTTAAAATTATTTCTATAATATCTAAGGAAGAAAATTTAAATTACTCATAATCCCACTACCTAGAAATAATTAGTTGGTATTTAATATATGTGTTTACATGCCCCATAAATAATTTCTCAATTAGTAGGAATTATACCGGAGTCATCAGTTTTCTCTCTTGCTTTTTTTATTTACCATTATATAGTGAGCATGTTCTCATGTGATCTATTTTTTTTTAATCCTCACCTGAGGATATTTTTCTATTCATCTTCGGACAGAGTGGGAGGGAGAGAAAGGGAGAGAGAGTGAAACATCGACGTGAGAAGGATATATTGATTGGTTGCCTCCCACACGACCCCGACCGGGGCCGGGACGAACCGCAAGCAAGGTGCGTGCCCTTAGCCAGAATCGAACACGCAACTCATTGGTCCACGGGCCGACGCTCTACCGCTGAGCCAAACCAGCCAGGGCTGATCAGTTTTGTTTCTAGAACATTATTATGACTGTATAATATTCCATCTTATGGATGTACCATAATTTATGTTACCAATCTCCTAATTTTAGGCATTGAGGACATTTCCTTAGGATGGCTTTTCAGGAATAAAATAAGTCACTTAAAGATACACATTTTTAGGTACAATTTACATACAATAAAACACACAGACCGTAAGTGTTCAGATTGATGTGATTCAGCGTTTGCAGGCAGACTTGTAACCATCACCCACAGCAAGATTCAGGACATTTTCTCATATCCCACAAGGGCCCACAGGTCTCCTCTGGTCCACCATGCATTCCCCACCCCCAGAGACAACTCCTTCTGAGTAGGAATGAATGCTTTTAAAGCTTTCTGTGTGCAGTTCAATCCCCATGTCTTTTTTGAGGATGCAGAAGACACATTTTTTTATGGGATTAAGGCCTTAGGCAAAGGAGGGAGGCTGTTCCCACAGCAGCACTCCAGGCGTTCAGAGACACCCACAGAGTGACAGCATTACCATCGGTGACCCCAAGCCACCCAGGCCTCATTCAGGGTCTCCATGCACCCAGGATCCATCCACTTACCCACTGGCTGCTTCTGGTTTGCCTGCATCTGCATTTGTGATTGTGGGTCCTGTGACTAGTGGGCTGGAAGGTGTGCATGAGAAGGGGGTAACCTGTTTGGTGGGGGTGATGCTCCTGTGTGGGCAGAAGGGGGGCATGGATAAAGCAGCCTGGGCAGGGGTGGGAGCTTCGTTCGGTAGTCCATGGGCCATGCCAGGCTTACCTGCTTTTCTCTCTGCCAGGCTATTCTTTGCTGGAGCCAGGGAGGGCCATCTTCCCAGCGTGTTGGCCATGATCCATGTGAAGCGCTGCACCCCCATCCCAGCCTTGCTTTTCACAGTAAGGGCCCCTCCTTCTGCCAGTCCCACACACACCCTCCCTCCCATGCTTGCTCTGAGCTGGAAGTTCATGCTTCGCACTCCCCTATAACCCTTCTTCTGTTCCTAGGTTTCACCCGTCCTAGATAATCTGACAAATAGTATGCGTAGACTTTACTAATATCAAGAGCTATAGCAAGGAAAGAACCTGAGTCCTGGAAGACCGGAAGGCTCTCAGGCCAAGTCATTTTCATTCTCCTCTCCTTTTGGATCAGAACGAAGTGACTTCCTCAAGATTTTATAACCTCAAAACGTGTCTCCTTCCTTAACTCTCCACTGACCTGTTGCCCACAGGGTTGCCACTGTGGCCCTCTGCTCCCAGCCCATCACCACACATCACCACCCTTCCCCATTGATCTTCCTGCCTAGGAAGCTCTGCCAGTCTCGGGAAATATCACTGAAACAAATTCAGTGTTAAGGGTACACCAAATAAGAAAAATAAAGGAAGACTGGAACATCAGAAATGGAGGAAAAGGAAACTTGGGATAAGGAAAACAGTGGAAATAAAATGACCCCAGAGTAGAATCATTTAGAGAGAGCCAAAAGAAGGAACAAAGATTTGCCCCTACAGAGCCGTATAAGTTATTTCTTTTTTCCCCTCTGGGTCCTGAATAAAATATTGAAAATTACTTTGGTCCACCAGAGAAGCAGTTAGACCAAGATACCAGAGCTCTCCAAAGTCAAGGGCATTCATTGTACATTAGGGGAATTTCAGAATGCTCACATACAGGAAGGAGGTCATCGTGTCGTGATTGGCTGCTTAGTTGGGAAAGGTGACTGGAGAAGACTCAGTGCTCCCAGGGGCCACAACTGTTTGTCAGTTTGAGCCACTGGTGCAGCATCGTGACTACAAGGCAAGCACAGTCGGAATCTGGCTTATTAATTTATTAAAATCTTCTTAGTTATTTTCACCGTCAGATCTCACAGGAAAACTAAACCTTCTGTTGGCCTGAGCATATTAGCAAAAGGGAAGAACATTCCAAGAGAGCCAGAGATGATTTTAAAGTTGGAAAGTGGCTTCTATCAAGGAAACTTAACAGGGACGTTATGAGGGTTAAACAAGTTACAATTTGTAGAATGCGGAGCATAGAGCCTGGCACCTAATAAATGCTGTAACTGTTTATGATATTTAAAAAAGAAAGGAAAGGAAGGAAAAAAATAAATTAGATGACTCAGACAGGAGAAGAGGATTAGGGCACGATAAAGCCTTAATCTACAGTTAACAACCTTCCCTAAAATGATAAAATGAAATTAATTTGTGCTACAACCAAAGAAGAAATGTAAATGAGACAAGGGTGGATATGGAACCAGGTGCCACTATGACCAATCCAGTTATTTATGGCCAAATTCTGTTCTGACCGGTTAGTGCCCATGCCACACAATGATTAAATATTTTGATTATCACCCTTGTAGTCGGAAAGAACTTCCTGGCAATGAAGGTTAGCAATGGCCTGGGTTTCTAGGGGAGGTTTTTAAATTTCCGTTTTGAGACATCCTTTGTGAAATGGCACCATCTGCCCGAAGTGGGGGGCACAGTCCTGATCTGTAAATAGCTCGTCTCCAATACCCTTCCACTGATTGATGCTTCTCCCACTCCCCCCAGTGCATCTCCACCCTGCTGATGCTGGTCACCAGCGACATATACACTCTCATCAACTATGTGGGCTTTATCAACTACCTCTTCTACGGGGTCACAATAGCTGGACAGATAGTTCTTCGCTGGAAGAAGCCTGACATCCCCCGCCCCATCAAGGTGCGAAAACCTCCCCATGGGGGGGGTCCCCCTTTCTCTACTGGTTCTACCTGCAACACAGATTTTTCAGTCGCCTTGTTCTCGGCTGCTGACCACAGATCGACTCCGTGATGGTAACAGACCCTTTGGGAAGCAAGGGCAATGTGTGAATGGGGCAGCTATTTCTTTCCCTTCTCTGTTGGGCAAATTGCAGCTGGAAAGATGTTAGATTAAATGATATTTTCATCACGTCATTCCTTTGTTTGCTATGACTGTGTCTTAAACTCCAGCTGATTGTTCAAGCCTTCCTTATCTCTCCAACATTTCCCTGGACCCTCTAGTCTGGCCAATCTCCTCCTCCCTCCAGAAGCTGGATTCACTTATGCTGTTTCTGTCCTAGGATGAGTTTCCTCCTGCCATCTGCCTATCCAAATCCTAACCATTTTTCACATAAGCTTCCATGACCTCCTCTTCTTTGAAGCTTCCTGGTTCACTCCAGCCATCCATGAGCAAGCCTCCCTTTTAAAACGACTATGGTCCTACGCCTGGCAGGGTCCTCAGGGAACCTGTTGATTGTTATAAGAAATAACTGTGTGCCCTGACTGGTTTGGTTCAGTGGTTAGAGCGTCGGCCTGCGGTCCAGAGAGACCTGGGTTCGGTTCCCACTAGGGCGCGTACCTCGGTTGTGGTTTGTCCCTGGGGTTGTGCAGGTGGCAGCCACTCGATGTGTCCCTTTCATGTCAATGTTTCCCTCTCTCTCTCTTCCTCTCTCTCCCTCTCTTTCTCTCTCTCCCTCCCACTCTATCTGAACAAAAAATGTCCTCAGGTGAGGATAAAAAAAAAGAAAGAACTTTGTGATGGAATGACAGAATTGCTCAGAACAAAATGTGCAAGTGTGCTGTGGGTTTTCCTGCAAATTAGAAGGATAGAGTATAGCCCTGAATTACTTGAGTAATTCTATTTTGTTTATTTATTTTTCATTTAATCCTCACCCAAGGATATTTTTTCCACTTATCTTTTAGATAGAGTGAAGGGGGGGTGGCATTGACGTGAGAGGGACACATCAACTGGTTGCCTCCCACAGGACCCCGACCAGGGCTGGGGACGAACCGCAACCGAGGTACGTGCCCTTGGCCGGAATCAAACCCGCGACTCTTTGGTCTGCGGGCCAACGCTCTAACCGCTGAGCCAAATCGGCCAGGGCAAATAATTCTATTTTGAAAACAGAGAGAGTCTAGATGCTTCTAGAAGGTTCTTCCAACTGAGAAATTGGGGGCTCTCCAAATCTCTGTTTTCCACTGCCACTTCCCTACCACTCTCAGAAAGCCTGCTGGAGGGAAGAGGCGGTAGAAGAAGCCCGTCTCCCCGCCACATGCATTATCCCTGAGAGAGGACAAGGGGGAGAAAGGCAGTTGAATCTGGAGGCTGGACAAGGACTGTGGGAACTCCCACCTCTGGTTAACAAGAAGGAATGAAGCCCAGAGAGAGAGACTTCTTTCTGAAGAAAGTCAAGGCCCCTGACTGCCTTATACTATGCTAGGTTTCCTGATTTCTTGGGTCTTGGCAGATTTATCTTCTCACATTGCTTGAGAGAAATAAATTGGGACTGTCCTGGTGAGAGGGATGGCCCTTTGCCATGTGCCCGGACGAAGGCCCTGCCTAGAAGTGGGTGAGGGGCAGGGAGCCTGGCTGACCCAGGTCACTTCCTTCTTGCCTCTCATTCATTTGTCCACTTCTCCTCCACCTTAGGACTTCCGCAGGTATACACTAATATACCAACAAGCTTTCCAGTCCCCAAGGGCTGCTCTGGCTGCCACCGGCACATGGCATGGATGGCAGTGCCTTGTTTGATCCCACCCAGGTGGGAGGAGAGGGGCAGGGAGGATTGTTCCCGCCTTAGGTTCCCCAGTCCTCTTCTTGTCCCCCTGCCCAAGTTCACCAGTATTTGTTGACATAGCACTTGTCCTGTCAAGGCTCGGGGTATGGGAGTCTCAGAGCGGAGTGAAGTCCAGCCTTTGCACTCAGAGAAGGGTGAAGGAGAGGGAGGGTGCCCTGATTGTGGGGTCATGGCATCCACACAGCTAACACCGCCTCTGCTCCACAGATCAGCCTGCTGTTCCCCGTCATCTACTTGCTGTTCTGGGCCTTTCTGCTGATCTTCAGCCTGTGGTCGGAGCCCGTGGTGTGTGGCATCGGCCTGGCCATCATGCTGACAGGAGTGCCTGTCTATTTCCTGGGTGTTTACTGGCAGCACAAGCCCATGTGTTTCAATAACTTCATCAGTGAGTTGTTCAAGGCTCTGGGTGGCTAGAGGGTCTGGGATGGAGTGGTCAGCGGTCTGACCGGGGAGCCCCACCAGAATCCAGAGACCTGGGCTGGGCCACAGAGCTCTGGGGAAGGAGCTGGGGGCAGGAAAGGGCAGGTACCTCTAAAACAGCTGACAATTCCACACAGACTCTAGACCTGCAGGGATAGGCAACGTGAAAGCTTCCCTGCCATGGCTGCCCTGGGCTGAGTGGAGACCCTGGAATTGGTGGTCAGTGGGCTTGGGGATGGTGGAAAACTGGGGCCTTGATGAGCAAGTGGCAGCTGGCAAACAGGCTGCCCAGAGACACAGGATATGATGGAGGAATATCTCCTGGAGGGGAGTTTCCTGAAGGCAGTAAGTGGCTCTGCTGAGGCAAAACCCAGGACAGGAGAGCAGAGAAGAGCGTGGGGGACCCCGCACTGACCTGGCTTCTGTGTCACCTCTCCCCACAGAGCTGCTAACCCTGGTGAGCCAGAAGATGTGTGTGGTTGTGTACCCCAATGTGGGGGAGAGCTCGGGGACAGAGATGATAAATGAGGGCACGGAGGAGTAGGCAGCCCATCAGCCAACTCATTGCCTCCAAGGACAAGGACTCGGTGGAACAGCCCAGCCCTGAGGACGACCATCCCCTCTCAGCTGCCTCCTCCCTCCTTCACCCCTTTCTACCCTCCTTCCCTGCTTGGGTTCCCCCAACACACACCCCTCTGCTTCTGTCATGCAGGAGCAGGACCTTGGGGTGAGTGGTAAGAAACTATAAACAAATACACTGACATTTGTATCCAAAGAACCAGCCCTTTACTCCCTGACCTGTGTCCAAAACCAGGGCTGCCCATGCTCAGAGCTGCCAGAGGGGAGGGGAGCTGCTGGCCGCCCTACAGGGCCCTCCCTCCCAGCCTACACCCATGTTGCCTCCTCAGGAGTCTGTGAGTTCAGTAAGGCCTAAGTTAACTGGAGAGATGTGTATCCCCTCCCTTCACCAGGGACCCAAGAAATCAGAGATGATGCTTCCCTTTGCCCTCTTCCCCACCCCTCCCATCAAGCCCCCACCCTCCCCAGCCTGGACTCCCTGTCCAGAGTAAGATTCCTCGGGATACCACTACCACCCCTACCACCCCTCCCCACCTCCCTGCCCTCACCCCCCCACCTCCAGCTAAGGACCAATGAAGCAGGGGAGCTGCCCCTCCCCTGACCCCCAGCCAGGCCCGTGGAATAGATTGGGAAAGGCTCTGATTGCAGAAACCTAGCCCTGCCCCTACCCCCTGCATCCTGCCCCCTACTGAGTGCCAAAGTTTCCTGAAGCTAGAAAAGTTCTCTCCTAATGACAAGGCAGCGCAGCTCCTCCTCCCTGCCTGTCCCCCTGGGAAGGAACAGTCACCCTGTCACCCTGCAGCTATGCTCCCAACACATACCAGGCAGCCAGCACTGCCTGCGCCCCCATTGTGCCCTTTTCCTCCTCTCTGGACCTTGGCTCCTGGACCTGGGACTGGGTGTGAAGGCTCCCCAAGCCCTTCAGGCCTGAAACCTGAGCCAAACCTGCCTTAAGTCACCTCCCATCCAAGAACTGGACCTAAAAATACTCCCTTATTTCTAACATTCAGGGCAGACCTAGTATGAAATGCTTTCCCAGGAGAGAGGGCGCTTTCCCCTCTCCCTAGAGGTGCCATTTGGGGAGAAAGTGTGTTCTGAAGGCCAGTTCCCCCCTCCTCCCCCAACTCAAACAGCCCTTCCCTCGTTCAGGCCCCACCACTGTCCTACCTTTGGACAGCCTCCAGGGCAGGGTGAGAAGGCAGGGGCAGAAGGTGCCTCTTTAGGGGCCCTCGGAAAAGCCTGTTGTCTGTGGTATGAGGACTGACAGAGGCTGCCTGTCCCTGTCCTCCAAAGGAAGGAGGCAGTGTTCGCCCTGGGCCTTGAGCCTTCCCACCATACCTGTTGTGCTGAGAACTAGGACCCTTTTGTCCCAAGCAGAAGGTCCCCCACTCCCCCAATTCTCCATCCCACCTGCTTAAACTGGAATAGCTGGGAGCCTCTTTGGCCCACTCCCGTCTCCCAGCTTCCCGCTTGGCCTGCCTGAGCCTGCACCGGTGAGATGCCAGGTTCGAGCTGAGTTATGGTCCCTGCTGAGTGGACTCTGGGCAGGCTGGGGCTGCCCCTGGAGGGTGAGGGGACCATTCTCTTATTCCTTCTTCTCATTCCTCCAACCTCCTTCTCACCTCCAATTATTGTTGTTGTGTGTTTTTTAAGTGGATGCCTTACTTTTTGGATACATATTTTTGAAGCTGGTATATCTATTTCTTTTGGGGTTTTTAATGTAAAGTTGTTTTAGGGGAGCAGGGAGTTAATTATACTTGGATAATAATCTTCCATCTTTGAGTTGGTTTAGGTTTTAGAGGGTTGGTTCGTTGGTTCTGTGGAGGGTTCGGGGTTTTTTCTTTTGACGTAATAAAATTTTTAATGGAAATGAAGTTGGCGGTGATAATTCAATGACCTTCTGAGACAGAGTCTCCGGCATTTCCTGTCTTCTTCGGGAGGTCTTTGGTTGCCAGGTTCCTTTCAAGATGGCATTCCTGAAGGCCTTTGCTCTGTCCCAGGGACCCAATGTCAATACTTTCAAACAGCCACCTCTCATTTTGAACCAAAGCTTTCTCTCATTTCTTTGGTGAAGTCACAAAGTGTTATTAAGTTCCTGCTCTGTGCACTATGCTGAGAGACTACAGACTAGCAGGCCAGAAGAACCTCATCACCACCCAAGGTGGGATATGGGCACCAGGCTGGATGGAGGAAGGCAAAGGCAGAGGTGGTCTTCATGGCCCGGTCAGCGAAGGCTTCTGGTGCCAGGACAGCAGAGCTGAGTAAGAAAGAAAGGGGCAGCCTGACCCTGTGGAGAGATACAGAGGGGAAATAGAGCACCCAGCTGAGTCCAAGGGGCTTGATGGGAGAGACTGGGAGATGAAGGGGGGTCCACTTAGCTGTACAGAGCCACCAAAGAGGAGACTTCTAGGTGGACTAGGGCAAGGGAAGAAGTGGTTAAGGTAGGAACAAGGACCTCCTGATGCTTTGGGTTAGTTGCTAGAGGAAGTTGTGGGATTAGGCCCTGTCCTCGCGGGGAGTTCCTCCTTTGTTGGCAGCCCTCCCACTGCCTGTCCTGGAGCGGCATCATTCCAGAGCCAGCACTGCTGACAGACACGGCAGGAGGGGGCGGGGGTGGACAGGTGTTAAGACATCACCTTCCACCACCTTGGCCACTGTGAGGACACAGGCGGGCAGATACCTCCCTGCCCCGCATGGCTCTGGCGTCCTTTGGGCTGGTGTTCTAGACTGAGGTTGGAGGCTGGCCATTCACAGGAGCACAGACATTTGGCCCTGAGTCCCAGGTCAGCCACCGAACAGCTGTGTGTCCTTGGGCAAGTCATTTAACTTATGTAGCTCTTTTAGAAGGGGAAAAAAGAGCACTGAATCTAATTTCACAGTGTTCCTCAATCTCCTAGCCCAAGGTTGTCCCAAAAGAGCGAGGGCAAAACTGGGCAGAGGCCAGTCTTGTGCAAGACGCCATTCTCCAAGCCTCACAGCCACCCTTTGAGACCCCTTCTTCCCCAGTACACACTTTCCTTTTCCCTGGGCCACCCACGGTCTTCTCCATGTTGCCCCATTCTGGCAAGTCTAGCCCTCCCAATCCCCTTTTGCTCTGTGGAGACACTTGTCCCTGGGGGCCCCCTCTCTCTCTGTAAGGTGACACTTGCTGATTTTTTCAACCTGGTCAAAGGAGCAAATGTGGGTCTCCTCCTGAGCAACATGCATTTATTTTTAACCTGGGCCTTTCACCTGTCTTAACCCTGTCAGTCACTTTAATGTTAGGAACTCAGATGCTCAGGCCTTAGGGAACTTGGGAGACTTTTGGAGGTCATTGAAATCGTAGCTGGTTAAGCATTCATTTATTAATATAGTCATACAACAAATATTTTTGCAACTGTTTTGTCCAAGAATTTTGCTATATGCGGTGGAATAGCAAACTTATTCCTGAATTTTCCAACCCAGTACAGACTTCAGATATTTTGTTCCATTTTCCCCATAAGAATATTTAAACATGTCAATTCACCTGTCCTTAATTTTTATTCAGGCAGTATGGTCACTACAACTGAAGAGGTCCAAAATGTGTATCTGACCCTACCTTCAAGGAGCAGATAGTCTGTAGGGAGAAAGCAAGAACACAAATGGCAACCCTGGCCAGGTAGCTCAGTTGGTAAGAGCGTTGTCCCAATACGCCAAGGTTGCAGGTTTAATCCCCAGTCAGGGCACATACAAGAATCAACCAATGCCCAGGCTGGTGTGGCTCAGTTGGTTGAGCGTTGTCCCATGCACCAAAAGGTCGCTGGCTCCATTCCCAGTCTGGACACATGCCTGGGTTGCGGGCTCGATCCCCCTTGGGGAGCATGCAGGAGGCGGCTGATTGATGTGTCTCTCTCTCTCTCTTTCCCTTCCTCTCTCTCTAAAAATCAATAAAGACATATTTTTTTAAAGAATCAACAACAACAACAAAAATCAACCAATGAATGCATAAATAAGTGGGACAACAAATTGATATCTCTCTCTGTCTCTCCCTCTCTAAGATCAATACATTAATTAATTTTAAAAAAGAAAAGAAAAGCATGCACATGGCACAGATGTGTGCCCTTCACAGCACCACTATCTGCCCACTCTGGCTGGACTCCAGCTGCTGCAGGCAGGGGCTGAACCCTGCAGCTCCCCAGACCCCAGGCAGTGCCTGGTACCTAAGTGTTCAAAGTGCTTGGCAAATTGAAGCATCAGATGAAGCAGCAGAGTATTTGTTTAGGAGACACAAACTGCTATGGGTGGCCAGAGGAAGGGCAGAAAGAGGCTGAACGTTGCTTTCCTTACATTATCTTATTCAAAGTTTAATTGAACAACCTAACCAACTGGCACGACTACTGCCATTTTACAAGTACAGTTAAGTAACTTGTCCAAGGTCACAGAACTGGTGACAAAGGCAGGATTCGAGCTCGGTTATCTCACACTTCACCGCCATGCGCAACCTCCTCCCTGTTGGAAAGACTAGGTGAAAGAGGTGGCCTTTGAACTGAGGCAGGTTACAGAATCAGTAAGATAACACACATGCATTGCTTCAGTTAATGCAAACAAGGTAACACCTGCAGGAAAAGGAGACACTGATCCTGCTGTCCAGGGAGGCTTTCTCTCCTGAGCAATTACGCAGAAACCAAGAATCCCTCAGCCCTTGATTGTCACTGCCCTCCCCACCCTCCTTCCTGCCCAGCATCCCTTCCTCCCCTGCCCAAACATCCAGAGCACCTCCTGCCTGGCCACACCCCTGGGTTACTGGGAAACACTGATGGCAGTACGTCAGCCACCAGCCTGGGAGGTGAGAGACCCGAGATCACTTATCTCCCCATGGCCAGAGCTGCCAGAGCTGCAGACTTTCTCATTTCCTGCTGGCTCTATTTGCACACCTCCCTGCTTCCTCCAGCACCAGGCTCATTCACTGCTGATATTCCCCTCCCATGCCCACTCCGCTCAGAATGGCTGACTGAGAGCAAAGAAGGGACTGAGTCACAGCTCCCCTTTCCCTAACCCTTCTTGACTAAGGTTTCAAGAA